CTATCTCGACTATCCGTTGAATAATATATAGTTATTAATTGTTATTGGAAAACTAATTTGATTAAATATAATAAAAAAATAAATTTAAACTGAATTTTTTTTTAATATTAAAATAATATTTTGCATATTTAAGGACATTAAACATCGTATAACTGGTATTTTAAAAGAATATTAAGAGAATATATTGCCTATTTTATGTGACAAAAACATCATATTTTAAGGATTTTAAGAGAATATAAATCCGACCATAGTAATAACCAATGAGTTAATTTAAAATCAAATTTTATAGTAAGTAATTTATAAATTTATAATAATGTTAAATAAAAACTGTATAATATTATGAATGAAATGTTTAACCAAGTTGTTTGAATATTAGATATATATACTTTAGATTTAGATTTCCAAATTTTAAATATATTTCTTAATTATAATATTTATTTATATATATAAATGTATATTCAATATTAATTATGTATCGCCCATCATAATAATATAATATTATAACTCGTAATACATGACGAAACAAACAAATGTTTAAAAGGGTCATTATGTTTTATACATAATATTAATCATTGTTAAATAATTTAATATCACTGAAAGTTTTACATTAAACAGATCTATTTATTATCATTTATAAAAATGATTACATTCTTAGAAATGAAAAAACAGAAATAATTGATAGTATTGATTTAAACGGGATAAATTTGTTTGAATAAAGGATTATTTTATTTATTATTGGTTTTGAGTACTCAGAAATCAAGTAAATTTAGGTGTACCGTAAATTCATCTTAATTTAATAGTATGAGTATTTAATTTTAGCAATCTCTTTGAGTACTTTTTAGTACTCATACAATAAAAAATTATTTGAACAAATTATATTTCCTCACCTGCAGTGTAGAATATTTGTATGACAAAAATAAACGAACTAATGCGTTCTTAAAACAAATACATTACGACCTTTTCGTTATTACACATGAGCGTAATCACTTTTTAGATTGGTACACACGACACCACGACACATACACACACACCATTAAAATAGAACAACAAAATAGTAATTCCCCATCGACAATTAAAATATTATTAAACATATTATATACGTAATATAGGATGTATTTTAATAGGTATACATTAATGTACTGTAATATACGAATTTAAACTGGGGTATTGACAGTTGTTCGTGATAATATTATACTTTTTGAATAACAAGCGGTGTGCTGACTGTCACACACGCAGATATTATGATACACACAAGGACGTTAAGGATAGGGGACACTAATAAAATACAAGTATCGAGGTTGTAAAAAAAATAAACCCAGTATTGAAAACTAGTCTTGTTTGCGATATTATAATTTAAAATGCATATAAACTTTTACTCATGTTTTAATAAAGAAGACATATATTATATGTATATACATTTTATCTCGTACAGTATTATATTTTACTACTAAAAAATAGGCAATTGAATGAGAACATGCGTTATGTTTGAAAATTATTTATACCATACACACGGAGGAGATTATACACTTAATGATACATGAACAATTTTTGTTTTACTCTAATTTAATTAAATAATACTGTACATAATAATATAATATGCATAGTAACTACAAAAGTAATATAATAGTATTATATAGAATTAATTCGTTACAGAAAAATTTTGGCTATGTTATTATAAGATTAATTGAGTCATTTTATTTTATCTTTTAAAATGTCTAGATTGGTGCAATGTATTTTTCTAAAAGCATATGACAATATTGACAAGTGAATAATGGAACTTGGGTAGTAAAATCTGATTGTGTAAGCCTTAAAAATCGCATATCATATGAACCACTTTCAAAATCTTATTCTCATATCACTTTGTAAGGAAAAAACAATACCGACATTTTATTTATTTTTATAGATATACACGATGATATGATCTTTTTCAGTGAACTAAGATTGATGTTTTAGTACATTTTACATGGCATTATTTTTCAATACAAAAAATTTTTAATCATGCGGTACAGTCAAAATGTTACACATATTTAAAAAATCAATCACATAAAGTAACATTCATTTCTAATTAAATAAAATAGTTAGAACATTTTATTATCATAGTACGAAAGCTACAATTAATGATTAAAAAATTACTGAGAATAAAATGAATAGCAGAGATATTAAATAGACAATTTCTACTAGAATCAAATAATTATTAAGCATAACTGAAATTCAACTAATATAAGTGAACATTTAATGTTAGATTTTAATACCATATGGTAGATATTTTTACCATACATCTTTAAATTATTTTTTAGTCTAATAATTTATTTTGTACTTGTTGTATACATCCATAAAAAGGAATCTTAACAATTTTATTTTAACTATATGTATGTTTTATACTTTATATTTTTATAAAAAAAACATATTAATTGTATTTTTTTTACGATTTGAAAGCTTAAAACGTATAAAATAAAATATGATTCACAATCAGGTTTGATTATAAGCTGTCAAAACGTCATACAAAATAAAAAAATAAAAAAATTCCACGTTTTTAAATCATTATTGTATATAGCTAGGTCACTATTATTATAGTTATAAAATCAGTTCGTATAATAGTCTATTTATACTTTGAAAACATTAACTAGGTGGTTTGGTACCTTTTATCAAAAAAGTTAGAACTATTTTGCAAATTAAGTTACTGCATAATATATTATCTTAAATAATTAATGAATGTACATGGTATGTATAGTCGTGTATGGGAGTATAATAGTTAATAGTATCAATCGAGAAGTAAAACAGTCTTACAATAATTCATATAAAATCAAATTTATAAATATACATTTTACCAAGTTTAAAATAAAAACATATTAAGAATATATCTAGCAAAAGTTCCAGTTAATTTTAAGGTATAAATGATGTTACTATAAAAGTAATAACAATAGGTACCAAGTACCTACAATAATAGTAATCTAATAAGATATGCGCACCTAAATTCTAAATGTATATTAATATATATTACAAGAGTTTAACACTTTAATTAAATTAATACTTAGTAAGATGAGAGTTATTGTTCTTATTAATTACAACATAATTTAAAAAGTATAAAACAATTGTATGCGCCATTATATCGACAAAAAAAAAGTTAAAAAGAATATTTTTCAAGCAATAAGCAAATACGAGATTGACAGTTACAGTACCTATATAAATATATGTTTAGCGACATTGTATAACAAGTATATAAATGCAATGAATAATAATTTCATACCACTTGAACATACACTCAAGGTAAATATTTAACTATTATAAAGCACTCATTTGAATAAATTATATATTAACAAGTGTCATTTGGGCGAGTGATTGATATTGAGCAATTTTTTCCACCGATATTAAATATAATAAAAATAAGAATGAAATAATATGAGTTCAATATGTGTTTGTATTTTTAACATTTATTCAAAATCTTTAGTTACGAAAAATATATTATGAACTTAGTATAATTGTCATACGAAAGTATCAACCACTTTTTATTATTCGAATTTAGTTGAATATCAAAATATAATGTTATACAGTAGGTAGCTCTACTTTACATAGTAATAATGATTTTTTTCCAAAATGACTTGATTTTCCATTTTTCAATTATGTTCAATATTTATACAACGCGATATTTTATATACATATATTATATTTGTAGGGATTGATCTATTTAGAATATTATTGTAAGACTGTAAGTAATTAAACAAAACAAAAAAAAAACTTAAGCAAACTCAAGTTAAATGTTTTCCCTAGTTCTAGTTGTTAAACAAACATTTGTCAGGTTTTTGTGTATATCTATGACCTACCTAATAATATGTACAACTATTTGTGCGTAGACGAAACCAAATTACTAAAATACAGATATTATGCATTTATAAAAGTGGTATGGTACAGACTTTTCAGTATAAATGATTCCTAATTATACAATACATTAAATTGATGTATGTTAATATGTGCATTATTATGTGTAAATAATAAATAATAATTTAAATGTTGTAATATAATTTAGTATAAATTACAACTATGCCAACTATAAACTTTCTGAATAAATATATATCCTTCAATAATAGATATTATATTATTATTTTGTTAAAGAAAAACATAATTAATTTCTCAGGTAATAAATAATTTTGGCATCGTATTTTATACTTAATTAGTTATGAATACAATCCTAAGACAAATTCCTAAATAATAGCTATTGACACACACACATACACACAATATGTACAATTATACAAAATCCCTAAACAACTGTACAGCGATGGTGTTTGCATTTTATACTTATTAGAAAAGTATATAACACTGTGGACAATTTAACATTTCAATAATATACATCACTCAGGATTGGCAATTAGACTATATTATTAATTATTCCTGATGTTGTTGATTATTTCTTATGGTACCTATACTATGAGATTTGGTAAATCGGTAAGCAGTAGGATATCAGTGATAACTTATCACACACATTTTTCGATTATATATTATAGTAAGATGTTCACACAAAAGCTTGTTAGGGAAAAAAAGGAATCCACTTGAACTAATAAGAATACTTTTATCAAAATTGTCTAAAATAAAAAATACTCAATGTAAAAGCACTTGGTGTGCTTGGAGGCCAGCTTCTAAATAATCAGTTATGTAATTTTATAGTTAGACAAAAACTCATATTCACCTACACCTGGCACGTGCAACTGTTCTGTATGAAACCCTAAAGGGTCGTTTTTCTAAAATTGTCGAACAATTTCGAAACAAAAAAATTATTATTCATGCGTCATATACTACGTTATAAACTATTTAAAAGTTTTCTCTGAAACAATATCCGTCGTCCATTTTATCAACAGTTAGCTATCTACTATTGTGCGATACGTCTGTGCAGTGTGTAGTGTGAACCCATGAGGTAAATATGCATAGGACGTCCCTATATTTATATTAAACCTGGCCTGATGATAACCCAAAATTATATTATGCATTTTTCTGTGTCAACATACCTTAATATCGCTACCGCTTTTTTTTTTTTTTTTAATATTACACGATAGGTACCTATTTTTCCGATTTAAATCATCTCCAGCGGCTACCAAACACAGAACGTTCCAAGGCGATTACCCAGTACCCTACATGTACACACATAAAACGTGTACGTACAGTATTTTACGACGATTTAATAATTATTAATTCACTAACTAAATCCGCTTGCGTACAACGAAACCGACGACGGACGAGTCGAACTGGGCGAGAGTGACAGCGTAGCGGACGGCAGCGGCTGACCGACGACGGATTCGCACTGCAACACGTGCGCGTGCCGCCCGATCATCAGCCGGTCGGCGGCGAGCCACGGCGTGACGCCAGCGTGTCGCTACCTAGTGGACCGCGACCGCCGCCGGCTGTTTTCGCGCCCGTCGGTGAACAACCGACCGTTTGCCCTGTCGCCGTAGTCCACCGACAGGCGTCGCCAACATTACATGAGTCCGACAGACCGAATTTTTAAAAATTACACTCCAATGCCCGTTGATGTATTACATTTCAATAGTTATCGTATTAGAAACGTCATTCACTCGGCCACAATAATATCTCGATGAAATGACTGCAATATTGTAGTATTATATAAATTGTGAAATTCAAATAAATCGAGTTTGTTCGCCGTGTCGACAATATAAAATTATTAAGTGAGATGTCGATTGTCGAGTAATGTAAGTGACTTCAACTTTCAAGTAAAATGTTGAGTGGTAATGTAAGAGCATCAATACTTATAACACATCATACTGCAATAGAATACATTTCGTAGACAACTAGTGCTGTATACAAGTATTTCGAAAATAGAAAACAAAAATATATTATTAAAATAAACTATAACGTTATAATTGAAAATTATTTCTCACTTCAGCCGTTGGGATACAAATTAAATGAAACAAGTGGAGATCACTAGATAAGAGATAACACGTATATAAACACATAAGATTTTTTATTTCCTTTGATTGGCATCAGGATTCAGGACCCACCTAACAATTAAATATTATATTATGCAAAACGGTGGGATGATCATAATATTTTATACTCACTGTGATTATCATTCTGTAATAAATTTAATTTATTTATTAGATAGTAAAAATAGGAATCCAGTTCAGTATTTTAATGACTTTATTATCTAAAGATGAAATCTGAATCTTGTCAGCTGCTATACTTAATAAAGTTTCTCAATGCAATTATTCTCAGACTGCGACGTATTTCTATACTCAAACCAATCCAATTTCCAGTAGTTTTTTTTTGTTTTCTAAAATCATTTAAGTTTTGGTTGGTGTAAATTCAGAACCCAGTGATGAATGTATTGGTTTTACAATTATTACTTTTATTTGTATTTATTTATTTTTGATTTCCGTGTCCACTTTCGGTCTTCGGGAGCAGTAAAAATTCACTGAATTTCAACTTTGAGGGTGGTTTCTAGTGTACCAGTTCTTGTATATCAGTCATTGTTGTAAATTAGTCGTTACTCGTAATATGTTTTAATATCGAAGCTGAGTGTTACCTATATATTATATACGTCTAGGTTAGGTTATGAGAAACACAAATTGATCGTAACTCAGTCTGTCTAACGGTATTGGCTCGGTATATGTGTTTATATTATAATAATATAGTGAAATACATATTGTATAAGCGCATATATCCATTTCCGGCTGATGCTTGGTGAGTTTCCTGTGAACACCAAATCACGGCAACCACGAGCGCACACGCAGCGTGTGGTTTGTAATCTGCAGCTAGCTTAGCGTAATAATAATAACGTAAATAATACTTTAATAATATGCAATAATCCACAGGATCGATGTCGATGAGATGAGTGTAGAAATAGATTCGTAGATCTTAGAAATGAATACAACTACTGGAAGGATAATAATATTATAGTTTGACGTGGTTAACGATTATAGACTATTTTAATACATTTAATAAGCATTGTAAACCTTATTTGGACATAACTCCCCTCAAATCACGGAAAAGTTTAACAATTGAAAATTGTAAAATCTGGATCAGTTCATACGACTTATTAGTATTAACAAAAGGTGATGTATCGAACTATATTGGGGTTATTTTGAAATTATAAAAACTTGATTTTGTAATAGTTAAAAATTACAATATTTTCAAAAACGGTTTTTGAGCAGTACTTTAGGTAGGTATTTAGTTTCTTAAATTGACGGACGTGTAACTTTTATACATTAAGAAGAATGTTCCGTTGACCTGTCAACTATAACATTTTATGACTCTAAATTAAATTTCAGTGTCGGGTAATAATCCTATGTGTCCGCACCTGAACTTAATCTCAAGGAAGTATTTGTCAGAATTTTCCTGGTTAGATTAGGTTAAGACAAAAAAATGTTTTATTATAGAGCACCAACGTTGGTGAATCTATTATAGGTACGTATAATGTAATTATTACGTAGACTTGTGTACATTTGTTGAAAGTTGAACAAAAATTAGTCATAATTATAAAATTAATGTAAACTAATAGTAAGCGAAAAGAACAAACATAAAATTTTTAAAAGTCAAACTTGGAATTATATTTTGTACATTTAGCAGTAAACCTAGTTGGTATTTACCGTTGTTTTTAAAATTATATGATTCAAACATTTAAAATTAAATTATATTATTTTTGATAAAAAGGTAGTCCGTAGTATAATAAATAAGGTAAATAAGGTAAATGAAAATATTATTTTAGAATGAGAAAACTACTTTAAATGCACATATTTTTATACTCTGTTTAATTGTTTTGTTTTTAAATAGTACACAAATATTTATTTAATTTTTATTTATAATATACCGCTAAAAAGAAAAAAAAATATTATTCTAATTTCATAATATTTCTCGTCAGCTAGTTTTCTTACTGTTGAAACGTTTTATAAAAAAAAGTATATTTTCCTAAACCACACATAGCTTTATTTCAATTTTTTTATCTTCTTGGTATATGGTAGTGAAAGGATTCAAGGATTGTATGTAGATTTGGTAAATAATACGGTTAATGGAATTAGTTTAACAAACTAATTGTTAAAATATTAAAAAACCAGAATGAAAATAAGTTTGAAATGCTTTAATACCTTAAATGTCATCGATGTTTGTATCGATTATCAATATTATTATATTATATAACAAAATATTATACATTTTTTATTTATTGTTTGTGTAATAACTGCGCGTGACTGGTAAACCAGAGAGGACAATTTAGAATTATATTTATTATTATTATATTTTTTAAAATTAAATATATAAAAGTCCAAGTAGTTATTACTTATACTGTATAGATCTTCAATAAATAATAATTAATAGTAAATTGAAAATACTGTAAGATACAAAAAATTTATTTTGTAGATTTGGGCATTTTATTTAAATTAAACCCAACAATCATTTACATAATCGATGATTTTAAAATTATGAGATAAATTTAAAGCTTTAAACCAATAAAATAGTTAAATTATGTATTATTTTGCCAAAAAGAAAATTTATATAGGGACTTGCAAAATATTATTTTTATTAGGTAATTAATTTATGGCTACGCATAGATACTTATCTGCACATCAGGAAAATAAAATTTAATATTGTATGTAGTTGAATTATAATGATCTTATTATTTTAGAATAATAAGTGTAAAATTTTGTTATTTTAAATATTAATCCATTTTTTCCAAATAAGAGTTTTTTTTAAAACTTTATTATGTAATTTTTAAAAGTATTGATTAAGGAGAATAATTATTGAACTGTTAACTCAGTTCGTTGTAAATGTTTTAATTTTGACTCATATATATATAGAACAATTATTTGATTCATTATTCGCATGTATTCATCAAAGAAATCATACAATATTCGGTATACTATACTAAACCCATATTGTTTAGAAATTATTTCTCATTTAAACTTATAATTTATGTTTGTTATGATTATTTTGAATTTACCTCCAACTCATATTAATATTTTTAACCAAATAAAACTAGTAATTATTATAGTTTCCGTAAGTAATCATTCGTAAGTATCATTTTGTAAAATGATAAATTGTGGTAATTTAGATAACGTAAGACTTTAACTGTTTGACTGGTGATACGCATAAAATAAGATAGAAATACGTACCTTTAAAGTTAAGACACCAAGCAATCTAATAACTATAGTGAAGGTTTAGATGTTTGGACATTAATTCTTATAGTTGGATTAGTAAGATTAAACTAGCTATCAAATATAATTAGATACCAACTAAACAAACGGCTTAACTTTGATTGAATTAAATGAGATACTATTATTTATTTTTGGCTAAATTCAATTTGGCTGTACATTTATTTCATATCTCTAATTATACTATTTACTACCAATATGTAGTGCAATACTATATAGGAACTAGAAAATAATTTACTATAGATTTAAGGCAACAAGTACCTACCTAGAGCAATTCAGTTATTATGAAATCATTAAGTAGGTATTGTATTATTGTAATATGATCATTTTAATAACACACGCGATATTTGTATTTACAGTTAATCTATAATTTTAAGGTTATATCGTATAGGTTCATGCATTTTTAGTTATTTTTATTTTTTTCTTAAACTTCAAGTATTGAAAAATCTCAATATTAGTTCACATTCAACGAAAAATGGCATTGATTAAGATATAGCTATCTAATTTGTCATGGATTTATATTGGATTAAATAAATATTTTTACGTTTATAATGATAAGAACCTAAGTAATTTAACTGAATGTAACGTATAATACTTGTTTTTGCATATTAGAAAACCACATTGAGCTACTCGAGTTTGTTAAATTATCGATCTACAACCAGAAGTTTGAAAAACTTTGTCATAACATTTCAAATGAAAGTTTTTGAGTTGACATTACATACAAAACTATATTTTGTGTTGAATTTTTAATTTCGAAACTACAATATAATAACTTTAGAACATTTATTTCGACTAATCTGCTGAGTCTGAGGTCATTTTTTTGTTTGTATTATCTCGAATTATTTAATACTATAGGTAGTGCAATGGTTCTCAAATTGATATATCTTAGTACAAGCTACGTAATTTTCAAGTACCGATCACTCGAAAGAAAAATTGTACTATAGAAATAAAAATCTAGAAATTAGTGAACTTAAGCATTAATTAGTATAACATGATTAAATAAAAAGGTATGATCATACTATGTTATTGGGATGAGTTCTATACCATACTTATTGTATAAATAATTATACCATGGGGACTGGAGAGGTAAATAAGATCGTTTGAAGTTGAAATGTAGTAAAAAAAATTAATACCATAGA